CTTTAAGTTTAGGAATATCATCATTTGAAGTTTGAGTATTTTGATTAACGAGTATAAAATATCCAACCACATTTGCAGCAATAGCCTAAAATATTATATGCAATTAATAATGACAGCAAGCTAAAAAAATAAATATAGATGCATTGATATAAAAAGTAAGGACATTATGACGTTTCAAATAAAGTAAAAAAACTCAAAGTATATATTTATAAAAAAATATTAGGTAAAGAAAAAAAGTATTATTTTCTCTCAAATTTTGATAAAGCAGACTTCTAAATTGTTAAAACATTTTTTTTAATTCAAAACAAAAGTAAATGTTTGCATTTGGCTATTTTTAAGAGTTAAACTTAGTGCAACATGTGTTTTTCTTAAGCAATCGTCTTTTTTATAATTGAAATGCAATGCTATCTAGCTTAATCAAAAAAATCTAGTAATTCATTTGGAATTTTATTATCATGTTTTTTTTTGTCTAGACTTTTTTTTAAAAAAACTGTCAAAAATAAAGCACAATTGTACATAAAATATGATATACAGTTATGTATATCATATATGATATACACAATATATATGATATACAAAATATAGATATATTTATATCAAAATTTGATATACAAACATAATTGTTATACATAACATCGTTGTATAAATGCTGTTATATCAAATCAAATGCATTCTGAAATAGAGTTTATATTTCATGTAATATTTACATATAGTACAAGTACTAATTTTAAGTAAACACCATAATGAAAAAAACTAAAAAACATAAACAGTGCAATACTTAAATGAAAAACTTGGCTTGAACACCTGTAAAAATGCCTTTTTAACATATTTGTTAGATATATAGATTTTTCTTCTCTCTCTCTCTATATATATATATATATATGTGTGTGTATGCATGTACATATATAAATTTTTAATTGATAAAACCATTTTATGAATAAATATTTCGACTAACGTAGTTTTTAGTTTAAATTAAATAATAAAATCAGTTTATATAAGCTGGCCAACATCCTCCTTTTTATGTTAGAGAGTGCAGTAAATAGAAAGAGCACAATAGATAGAAGGACTTTGGTCACATTAGTTTATATAAATTATTAAAGTGATTGAAGTATAATATAAAATGCAATCATGTTTGAACAAACTGAAAAATACAATTAATTTAAAAACTAATAAAAAATCTTATTAATACAATTTAATTAAAAACTTCTTTAGAAGTTATACCGCTTAAAAAACAAGAAGTTACAAAATAAGAAACAAAAAATAAAAAAAATGAATATTAGGGTAAAAAGATGACTATGATAAAGCAAAAAAACGTAAAATAAGAAAAAAGGGCAGTAAGTAAGTAAAGTAAGCAAGCAAAAAGTTTAGACATGGTTAATTTGTTTATTCACCTAGTTTTAACCATTCAATGAACTTTCTTTAAGCTTTAACTTACCAAAATTATCTTTGTTTTTCAAGAAAAAATTAAGCATTCGAACCTTTTTTTTTTTTCTTTAACAGCATAATTATAATCAAATTAAATTTATTGACATGCTTAAGGCCCATAATAATAAGGATACAGTAGATAAAATGAAGAGGATAATTATAATCAAAATAATTACAATGCATCAAATATGAACAAAAAATGGCATCATAAATATAACTCCACCCTTCATTTAAACATCAATGAAGGTTGCAAAAATCTGTCTGATTTTGCAAGAAATTTTAAAATGAGGTTTTTACTGTTCTGTAACAATTATAAAGAGAAGTATTGAAGTTGCTCACAAATAACAATATTAGGTGATGGCCACCATGCTTTACAAGTATTGAAGTTGCTCACAAATAACAATATTAGGTGATGGCCACCATGCTTTACAAATAATTTGCTAACACTGTTCCGTGGTGGTTTGTAGGCGATGGAAAGAACTTTTTGCACAAAATACCAAAGCTGACAACTAAAAATAGTACAGCAAAAAAAAATTAAACAAAATAAATCATTGTTTGCGTTGAGCAAAACTTTTTTTTTTAATTCTGATTTACTTTTAACAAGGCTGGCCATTATTAAGTTAGGACTTACAAGAAAACATACAATAAAGTTAAATGCAAGGATAGGTTGGAAGAAGACTTGAAAAGTTGTAGGTTGTATGTGTAAGGAATACATTAAGATGGAAGAGAGTTCCAAAGAGTCGAAATGCAGGAAAATAAAACTAGATGAATAAAAGTTTTTAGAGCACGCAGTGACAGATATATTAAAAGAATGAGACTTTGCTGAATGACAAGAGGGAGAATGAGTTTTAGTGAACGGAACTAGAGATTATTGCTTCATTGAGCAGTAACCAAGATAGTACATGTAGAAAAAATTTCTTTGCAAATAGTTCTGCCTTATCCTTGGGAGAGGTAATAAGATCAGACCCATGAAGTAGAGATGGGATGTTAGATCTACCATTTTTAATTTGTTAAAATTTTTTCAAAAATCTCTAGAGCCTAACTTCTGAGATATAGTGAACTAAAAATAATAGAGCTTAGCACCAGACAGCACCTAATTACACCAGTTTCTTGCATTAATAAATAAACATTTGTTGTTAAGACAATTGTTCTTTTAAAAAAGATGAAAAAAATGATTATGGTTAAATATTGCAGCTGCACAAGATGGTAAAAACCATAAAGTAGAACAAGGCTTGACAGTGAACTGTCAAGAAGGAATAAAAGCTTCCATTCCTGCCTGGACCCATGAGGTTACATAGGAGGCGCATTTATCAGCAGAGAGAGAAAAAATCCCAGTTAGTTTTAGCATAAATAGATAAATAGAAAGATAATAGGGGGAATCGAAAGAAAAAATACAAGGTGAAAGATTTATAGGAATAATTGCATGGTTGGATCTACCTAAGGGAGAAAAAGGATAAACTGAATGCAAGCTAGGGTCAAAGAAAAGACCAAAATCAAGGAGTGAAGGTAAATAGTTAGGATTGTTCGGAAAATGAGTCATAAATTTAACTATCTGAGTACGAAATTGAGAAATACAGAAGTTATGAGCTTTAGTGCTAGCAGAGTCAGTGGTGTTAGAGACAAGCTGCTCAATGTGATGAGCATTAAAGTCACCAATAACAACAATATTGGCAAAGGAGTAAAGAGAAAGGGGATTTTCAATTTGATTATTAATTAAAAGATTTAATTTCTGAAATCTTGAAAAGGAGAGCAATGTTCAAGGAGAGAAAAATGACTGAAGAGGTGCTGAGCAGAAGCACATAAAGAAATAGTCAAAGTATTTAAACCTGATTTCTTGACAAATTGGTGAATTGATGTGTAAGTATGCCCCTAAACCAAGCATGTGACTATTGGAGTCTATGAATTAAAGGATAGTACCCACCAATACTGAGATCTGAACAAACACAGCTGAATTCAAATTAGTCTCTCAAAGAGCAGCCGATTATAGTATATTTTGCAAGAGATAAGTTTCAACTGATGGAAGGTTACTTTAAAGACCATAAATATTTGTGAAAGATATTTTAACAGTATCAATATTGAAACAATTAGGTGGTGGGGATGGTTTTTATGTTTGAAATTAGATGTCCCAGGCATTTGTATTAAGTAGTAAAAGGGAACTATGTTAGCTAATGTTAAAAAAGGGCATTGTACTCCAGGTTCATAACTTGTAAAGGTTGATGTTAAACAAACGACAATCTCATCAGTATAAAAAAGATGGCTATTGAGAGGCTACTGAGTAGCTCTGGAAGTTGTATTAAGTTGAAGACTAAGATCATTAATATATAAATTAAAGAGCAAGGAGACAGTAAACTTCTTTATTGCACTCCATTACCAATAGTAAATGCAGAGATGTAGGTCTCGAGACCAAAGTCTTGGCCTCATGACTTCTCGAGACTCATGTTTAACTGTCTTAGTCTTAAAGCCTAAAGTCTTAGCTTAGTCTTGGTCTTGAAAACCTAGAGTATTGGTCTTGGTCTCTGAGAACCCCTTATATGTGTGAGCATGAACTTTATTGTGTTGGACTTCTTAGAACCTAAGTCTTGATCCCGGTCTTGTAAAAACTTTCAAAGTCTTGGTCTTGGTCTTGCATTGATTTTTTGATGTCTTGGTCTTGAAGCATTCAGTCTTGGCCTTGGTCTTGAGGCCAAATGTCTTGGTCTTAGCCTAAATCTTAGCATTTACTTTTTCGACTATATCTCTGAGTAAATATATATAGGATGCCAGCCTAAGAGATTTGAGCTATTTGACCAGCATACCAGACAATAAGTTAGTACAAAGTAACACCAGATACAATTTCAGAAATTTTGATAAAAAATATGCCAAGGCAGTCTCTATTACACTCTATCATTGATACCATTTCTGGTATCAATGAATGCTAAATGTATATTTGAACCACGAGACAAGTAAAAAATCAAAAAGTCTTTTAAAAAAAGAACGGGCAGTGAATTTTTGTTTCTTAAAAACCAAATTAACTAGAAGTCCCAATAAAAATTTTGTTAATTTTTTTTTTTTTTTTTTTTTTTTTGTGAAATAAAAATTATACTAAAATTTAGACTAAATCCGAATAAAAAAACACCAGCCAAATTTCTGTCTATTAAATTACTCCTTCTCAACCTTATTACTGTATTGCGTGTAAATTAGTAGATTGCTCACGGTAAAATCAGAAGATTTTTGAGCAATTCTTTCAGTACTAATACCAGCTTTGTTTAAAACTTTCAACCGTTTTTGAGCTTATTTTTATATCACATATATATATTGTGATATCAAATAAGCTCACAAATATGTTGAACATGAATTATCTAAAATTACGAAAACACTTTTTTTTTACTTGTTAATGTAATAACAAAAGAAAAGTTTATATAATTAAGTAAGAAACTCTTTTTTGATTTAAACTTTGATAGTTTAATTAATTTTAAGGGTGGCACAATGGGGTCACATGGGGATTTTTATCATTTTTTGAACCTATGTTAGGCACTTCCACATCTGAGCGCGTAATATCGATAATTCATAAAAAATGGCTAAAGAAAAAAAATCTGAAGTTTTGTGCCGACAAAAGAGTTTGAAGTGAATGTACTTCCGTTGTTTAAAATTTGACTTAAAATACAATAACTTTTTATTTGT